AAGGTGAGAGGATCACATGAGGTCAGAAGTTCAAGACCAGCCTGGCCAACATTGGTGAAACCCCATCTCTACTGAAAGTACAAAAATTAGTCAGCCATGGGGGTGCACACCTGTAATCCCAGCTACTCAGGAGGTTAAGGCAGGAGAAATGCTTGAACCAGGGAGGCGGAGGTTGCAGTGAGCCGAGATCAAGCCACTGCACTCCAACCTGGGTGATGGAGGGAGACCCTGTCTCAAAAAAAGACAAAAAAAAAACCCCCACAAAACCACAGTGAGATGCCACTACACACCCATTAAATTAGCTAAAATTGAAAAGACTGACTCTCATACATTGTTGGTTGGAATGCAAAATAATACCACTTTGGAAAACAGGTAATTTCTTAAAAAAATGAAACATACTCCTGCCGTATGAATCAACCAACCTATGATGGTAAATACCATCTTAGATATTTCTCTGAAGAAATGAAAGCATTTGTCTACTGAAGACTTGCACATGAATGTTCATAGCAGCCTTACTGTCACCTCAAACTGAAAATAATTCAAATGTCCAAGGTAGATGGCTAAACAAATTATGGTATCCATAATGGAATTCTACTCAGCAATAAAAAACTATTTTTCATCTCAAAATCATTATTCTGAGTGAAAGAAATCATGAAAAAAAAAATGAGAACATACTGTGTGACTTCATTTATATAAAATCCTGAAATATGCAAACCACTGTACAGTGGTGCCTGTAGACAGGAGTAGAGGAAGAAATGGCAAAGAGACATGAACAAACTTTTGGGAGAGACAAAAATGTTTGTTATCTTGATTGTGGCAATGGTTTCACAGGTACAGACATAGGTCAAAGCTGACCACAGTGTATGCTTTTTTTTTTTTTTTTTTTTTTTTTTTTTTTTTGAGACGGAGTTTCGCTCTTGTTACCCAGGCTGGAGTGCAATGGCGCGATCTCGGCTCACCGCAATTTCCACCTCCTGGGTTCAGGCAATTCTCCTTCCTCAGCCTCCCGAGCAGCTGGGATTACAGGCACGCACCACCGTGCCCAGCTAATTTTTTGTAATTTTAGTAGAGACGGGGTTTCACCATGTTGACCAAGATGGTCTCGATCTGTTGACCTTGTGATCCACCCGCCTCGGCCTCCCAAAGTGCAGTGTATGCTTTAAATATGTGCAGTCTATTGTACTCTAATTATACCTCAATACAGGTATTTTTAAAATTTAATGGATTGGCAGCCCTCTAAAGCCAAAACCTATCATTGCAAACGATGCTAGAAAAACTTGATGGGCCAGATGTGGTGGCTCATGCCTGTAATCCTAGCACTCTGGGAGGCTGAGGTGTGTGGACTGCCTGAGTTCAGGAGTTTGAGACCAGCCTGGGCAACATGGTGAAACCTTGTCTGTACTAAAATACAGTGACTTAGCCAGGAGTGGCAGTGTGCACCTGTAATCCCAGCTATTCCGGAGGCTGAGGTGGGAGAATTGCTTGAATGTGGGAGGCAGAGGTCGCAGTGAACCAAGATCACGCCACTGCACTCCAGCATGGATGACAGAACCTCTGTCTCCAAAAACAAAAACCAAAAACAAAAAAAGACTTAATGGTACCAGCAGGCCATTAAGAGCTAGGCCCCAAGGGGATGACTCTTAGGAAACTCTCCATGTAGGAATTTCTTACTATCAGTGTAGGACTCAGAAATACAATACATATCTACCCTCTTATGAATAAGCATAAGCATACTGAAAAGGCAATAGTTCATATGACCAGCATAATTAACATGTTGGAGATTAAGTCAAGGTGGTTAGGGAATCCTTCCTTCCAGATCTCATGTTTCATTTTTAATGGACTCAACAAAAACAATCCTCAAGTATTTTACACTATCTACCTATCAACCCCAGGGTATTTGCTTATTTATTAAAAACCAGATTAAGCTCAAACTTGCCTTCTACACATAGAACAAGAAAAAGCTTTATTGTGACAAAATATCATAATTGTAATTATTTTATAATTTGTTGTCATCAGTCTGGCAACTTTCAGCTTCTGATCACAAACATAAAATGTTTAGCCTATTTTCAACTCCTTTCTGATCTACCGAAAAATTTTAAGAGCCCCTAGCTCATTCTTCTATGTGCAAATATTTAGGTTTCATTGGAAAAGTCCTTTAGTTCATCTTGGTATCCTTTGTAAACTTATTTAACTTTACCCAATCTTTCAAAGCTGGTGTTCACCATGATTTCCTTCTCTGCTCTTTTCTGGTGTCATTTCTCGCCACTAACTCTCAAATGTCACAATCTCATAGGAAGCTAGTTTAAAGTAAGGATTTCCACACTCTAACCCCAATGATTCCAAATCTGATTAATGGATGGGGGCCTAACAATCTTATTTTTTAACAATTATCTCTAGGTGACCAAGGTACATACTGAGAAACACTGCTGTAACTGCCTTCCCTAGAAGAGCTCATGAATACTCAGCTTGTGGAGGAAAACATCATGTTTCCAATTACTTTTTAAAGCTGATGATTCCCAATTCTGTATTTCAGACCAGCTCTTCATCTGAGGTCCAAACCTATCTGTTTTTGTCCCAAATGTTGCTCCTGATTCAGAAATTCCTAGTTCCCTGAAATTACTCCAAAATTCACCTGATTGCCAAAGCCAGAAACCCATAGACATCCTATCTTCCTTCTCTTACTTATCATCACAACCTGTACATTCCCTATACGTTGTTCCCTATGTATTCCCTATATATTGTTCCCACCATAGGTTATCATAATAACCTCTGAATCCGTTTCCCAGCATCATTCCAAATCCATCCTTCATAATGCTGCCAGAGTGGCCTTTCTAAGACCAGCATCTGGCTGTCATTCCCTCATCCCTTCCAGGATAAAATCCAAACACTTCAGCATGCCATCATAAAAGGTCCTTCATGGTCTAGCCCCTACTAACCTCTCTAAACCCTCTCCCTGCAATCCCTCATCTTCCATCCGAGTCATACAGAACTACTTGTTATCCACTGACTTCTTCCACACATTCACATACTGTTCTCTCTTCTGAAAAACCTTTCTCCTTCTCGCTAACTGCATGATTCCTCAACTTTCAAGTCTCTCCTTAGGAGTGACCTGCTCTGATAATCCTTCCCTTCCAAACTATCACTCCCTTTCCCCCAAGGCTACATTAAATTCCCATTTAAAAATACTTAGAATAATTATTGCAACGAACTGTGTTGGTCTACTTGCCCATCTCCCCTTCTAGACTGCTAGTTGTTTTTCACGCCTGTGTACCTAACCTACTACAGAACTGGCACACACAGCAGACATTTCATAAATGTCACCTGAATTAATCCATTTAATGTCTAGTTAACAAGAATGTTTTCTTTTTTATTAACCATGGAAAAACTAAGTACCTTCAGTGTTCTAAATAATAAACCAGTCTTACAGCCAAGTAGTTTAAAAATACAAGAATTTCTTCCAGCCATTTTTATCATCCATCTCAAGTAAATCAATGTATTTATGAGCACGAATGTGATGTCTGGAGAAATACAGGATTACCACTAAGTCATTGGTTCCATTTTTATTATAATTTGTACTCTTTTTTTGCAAGCTAGGTTTCTCTCCCACACACTAGGCTTATACATACACTGTCCAATCCAGTAGTCACTAGCTACAGGTGGCTATTTAGTTAAAATAAAATAAAATTTAAAATTCAATCTCTCAGTCACACTAGCCACATTTCTAGTGCTCAAAAGCCATAAGGGGCTAGTGGCTATGATACTAGACAGTGCAAATACAGAACATTTTTGTCACAAGTTCTACTGGGTAGCACTGGCCACAGTCACGAAAGAACCTTAGAAAAACCTCCTACTTAGCAAATAAAATTTAAAATTCAGTCCCTCAGTTGCACGAGCCACATTTCAACGGCTCAAAATCCACACAGGGATAGTGGCTATGATACTGGACAATGCAGCTACGGAACATTTTCATCACAGGAAGAAGTTCTACTGGAAAGCGCTGGCGACACAATCATAAAAGGACCTGAGAAAACCTCACTTACTTCTTAGCTCCCACGATCCTCGTGCTCCTCTGCTGTTTAAAGGTTGTGGGTCCCGAAGTCTAGCAAATCACAAGCAGATGAGTGAGTGCTAGGGACCTCTGAACTTCGACCACAAAAAGACGAATTCCCCTATGCCCAGAAGAAATGAAGATCTCCCGGGGCAACCACCTCAAACTGAAGAAGGCAACACTTTTTAGGAAAACTGTGCTGTCCTATCTTCCAACAGTGCAAAGGCGGGTAACAATACCAGAGCCTTCGTCTTCCCCATTCTCAAAAGCCCTGTCCCAGGCTCTAAAAGGGAGGCCAAAAGAAAAGACAATGTATACGAGAGACATTGGGGATGTAAAGGAATAGAAACTAATGGCAATGTGGCGAGGAATTAAATCCAAGGAGGTGGGGAACAGGCAGCAGAACGTGGGTAAAGAAAAAAGGGGACAGGTGATCTGACCTAGGAGGGTGGGGCCTACGATGGCCTCTGATAAAACCAACTCTGAGCATGGGACAAAAGCGAGAGACCGCGTGTTCTGGGCTCGACAGCGCTACCTCTAAAGCATGACGGTCAAACCAAGAAACTCACGGGTACAGCACCGAGTCTGGAAGACATCACTCCCTCTCCACGCCTAACAATTTCACCAAAAGACTCCGGCCAGACCAACGCCACTTCCGCTCTCCTCGCCTCTCCCGGATGTGGGCTCGGCCCCGCCTAGCCCTCTTCTGAACATCTACTTCCGCCTAGCAGCTTCCGAAGGGGCTGCGGCCGGAGCGAGTCACGTGACGAGTAACCCTCCGATTCCTCTGAGACCCCGCCCCACTGGGATCGCGACAGGGGACCTGGGAACTGTGGGTGGGGTCTGCAATGAAGGGGCGGAGCTTGGAGCCTCTGCTCGGCCTTAAAACCCCTGCTCTCATTCCGAACCTTTGCACAACTCCTCGTGTCCCACCACCCTACCTTCCCCACCCACCTGCCCAGTGGCCTCAGTCTAGATGCACAGGGAGATCAGTTACTGCGGCTTTATTAGAGAATGAATCTCACACGCCACCCCCTGTAGAGAGACATGGAAGCCTTTCCACGCTGGGGGTGCAGGAACTGGAGGCAATGGCTGAACAGGAAAAAAGGCTGGAAAGGGCAGCACGTTGAAGACTTGAAGGAGACGATGAATAATAGGGGTGGATATCGCCTCTTTGAGTAGCTTCAGGCCTCCACACTTGCCCTGCTTTGGGATTTTTGTGTGTGGTCCCAAGGAGACTTGTTCCATTCTTGAAAGGGCTGGGCCTCTTCCCAGGGGAACTGTGCTTGAGTCTCTCCTTAAGGGGACTGCGATGGCTTCTCCCGGAGGGTCTCCCTGGCCTCATCTCAGAGGGACTGTGATGGACTCTCTCCCAGGAACTGCGATGGCTCCTCCCAGAGGGCCTCCCTGGCCTCATCTCAGAGGGACTTTAATGGGCTCTCTCACAGGAACTGTGGTGGCTCATCTCAGAGGAACTGTAACGGCATCTTTCCAAGGGACTGAGGTGGCTCTTCAATAAGGAACTGTGGCTTCTCTTAGAAATCCTACTGTGGCTCCTCTCAGAGGACCTGTGACATCTCCTCTCAGAGGGACTACGTTGGCTCCTCTCAGAGAGACTGTGATGGGTTCTTTCAGAGGGACGATGATGGCTTCTCTGAGAGGGACTGCAATGGCTTCTCTCAGAGGAACTCTGATGGCTCCTCTCAGAGGGACTGTGATAGCCCATTTTAGAGAGACTGTGACAACTCCTTTCCAGGGGACTATGATGATTTCTCTGAGAGGGACTGCGATGATTTCTCTGAGAGGGACTGCTAAATCTTCTACCTGAGGGACTGTGACGGCTCCTCTCAGAGGAACTGTGATGATTTATGTGAGAGGGTCTGCCATGGCTCCTTTCAGAGAGAGAGTGATGGCTCCTTTCCAGGGGACTGAGATGATTTCTCCAAGAGGGACTGCAAAATCTTCTATCTGAAGGACTGTGATGGCTCCTCTCCGAGGGACTGCGGTGGCTTCTCTCAGAGGGACTGTGATGATTTCTCTGAGAGGGACTGCAATGGCCCCTTTCAGGGAGACTGTAATGTCTCCTCTCCAGGGGACTGTGATTTCTCCGAGAGGGGCTGCAATGGTGTCTCTCAGAGGGACTACAGTGGTTTCTCCAACAGCGATTATGACCGGTTCTCTCAGGACCATGTGGGGTTCTGTCCCTATAGAAGCTGGGGTGGTTTTGCTCCTTGTTTGTGAGTTTCTTTTTAAGGGGTCGGTGCCAGGTTCTCTTCACAGGGGAACCAGGTAGGAGTCTTCCTTGGGCCTGAACTCTGGTTCCTGGTGTGGGCAAGTTCTTAGACTCCTGGCTGGAGATTTCATTTTTCTTTGATCTGCTACTACTATCCTTTTGGACAGTTCCCAGAAGCTGCTCCACTGAGGCAGCTTGGAAAGTGATGTCACTTTGGAAGTCTGTGGGCTTGGGCAGTCGAAGAGGTCTGGGTTGGAAACGGTGAGCTCTTCTTGGCTGTTGAGCTGATCTGCACTGGTCTGTTCCTTCCCACAATATGTCCTCCTGCTTAATGGTCGAGTCTGCTGACCTTAGCTTGTCAGCTGACCTCCTGTCTCTTTTGTGATTTCTGGGTATGCAATAGTCCCTGGCATTTTGTTTCAGATAATAGTTTTTGCTTGCCCACACATTGTCTGGGATTGTCCTGTCCACAGGCTTCTGCCCAGCAAAAGCTATAACTCTGTATGCTGTTTGGAATGCCCGCTGTAGGCCCTGAAAAAGCAGTTGCATGAACTTGGGTTGGGAAGGTTTCTTAGGTTGTGTTTTCAAGGAGGCAGTACTTGTCTGAGCTGCTCCAATCGTCTTCCTTCTTAAATGGGCTGGTAATTCCCTAGAGGGTCTCTCTTTTGTGGTTCTACTGCTTGTGTAGAACTTTCTGTGTTTTCTAAGGCCCTTGGTCATTCTCTTCATTGGATATTTTGAACCAGAGGTCTTTTTGGTTCTCACTTTAGCCCGTTTCTCATTCTGAGTGATTTCAGAGTCACTCTCTGATAGGGTGTGAACCTGAATGGATTCATAGCGTCTAGGTGCTCTAATTATTGTCTTTTCTACTAGGTCAGGGCTGCTGCGTTGTCTTCACCTGAGGTAGACCTGTACAGGAGCAGGGGTCTGGGAGGACCCAGACTGCAAATCTATTGTGGAAGTAGGACTCTTAGAAGCTTGAGTATGGAGTTTAGCTTTCCTTTGTGATGGTGACATAGGTCTTCCCCATATGACGGGTCTAACTCTCTCATGATACTTTGAGATTTGGGGTCTTTTCCTAGTTTGCAGCCTAAAGCCAAGGTACACTCGAATCTCACCATGGCCTTCAGGAGTGCGTACAAGGTGGAGCTGTGGATAGATCAGAAGATAAGTCCCCAAAGTGGTCTGTAATTTATGATGGCAGTTAAATCCTGAACATTGGCCACACTGTAGGCAGATGGGGTACTTTAGGACTAGACCTGAAGCTAGAGGTGGAGGTACACTGGGGGGTATTTGACTCCTTAAGAGTTTTGTTGCTATTTTTAGCTGCAAATCTTGTAGCAACTGGAGCTGTTCTGAGAAGTCACTCTGGGAAACGTCATTTGTCTTGTGGGAGTGTTGGGACTCAAAAATCCTCGTTTGGGAATCACTCTGTGCGTTCTCACTTACTTCCATTGGAACAAGATCTTCTCTGTTGTAAAATATGCTGATGGAAGACTCTGACTTTACCAGGACAGGAAGCTGGCCCCCTGCACATGCGACAGGCATATGCTGAATGGCTTCCTGGGATATACCACTGAACCCTGAGTTTGTTTTCTTTATTCCCACTCTCTTCCCAGAGAATTGCTGTATTATGGAAGATGTGGAGACACATGTCCACATTTTTAAGGCCATTGACCTATGGTCTCTGAATGTAGTGTTTGACCACTGAAGGCTGAAAAATAGTAACTGGACCCTTCTCTGGCAGCATCTGGGAAGCTTCCATCAGTTCAGCTGGAATCCCAAATAAATTCTGAATGGACTGACAGGTATCTGCAGTGGCTTTTCCTGCTAGAGATGTTTGAGAACAAAGCTTCCTTTCCATAGTGGTCCCTAAAACATTCCCCAGGGTAAGCATAGTGGAGAGATATTTTCTTGGTAGTCACTGCCTCCAGGCATGACTCTCCCAGATGTTGGGTCGTCTGCCCAGGAGAGACTTGATGAGGGATTTCTGAACCCCTGATTCTGCCTGGAATGTCCTAGATAGTGATCTCCAGCTTTGTGATTGATGTCTCTGAAGTGAGTTCTCTAGCTCCTCCAATTGATTCCTCTTAGTTGTCTGTTTAGATATGACATCCACTCCTGGAATCTCAGGACATGGGTTTTCCACAATGTAAGCTGTCTTAACAGAGCTTTGATTATGAAGGGCCAAGGGAAGAGTTAAAGATTGCATCATAATAGGGTCTAGATAGGTCTCTTCATGCTGAAAAATATCTGTCCCAAGGTTTTTTACATCCAAAGCTCTGATACTTTTTGTATCCCAGAATCCCAAAATCCTCCTAATTCAGATGCGATTAACAGAGCTTGAAATAAGTGAGGTTGAAGAGCTTTGTAGGAACCTAGAGAAGTGAGTCCCCACTTGTAACTCTTCCGACGTTAACTTCTCATAGTCCGTATTCTTACACACCTGTCCTAGATTCAAATCCTCAGATTCCATAAGTTTAGAGGCTCTGTTTAATCACTGTAAATTTCACAGCCTGAAGTCCTTGTTGATGAGTCAATATTGTATGTTCCTTAAATGGAGATGTCTGCTGTGAGGTTAATTCTTCAGATTTCACTTGAATATGTGGCCTTATAGTTGATTCTACAGGTACTATTAGTTCTTGAAGATGTGGCCTCGAAGTAAATTCACAGAATTTATTGCTTCAATTCCTGATTCTAGAGCTACTCCTACTGGTTCTACAACCTGAGGAATTGGTCCTAGTGCTAATTCCTCAGATTTTACAATCTGAAGGGGTGGCCCTGGGATTAACATTATTTTTACAATTTGAAACCCTGTCAACTCCCTTGTTTCTATAATCTGGTGTTTTGGCTTTGTGATTAATTTCTTAGATTTCATATCTTGTAACCATGGCCCTGAGGGCAGCTCTGAAGGTTGCACATCTTGTAGTTTTGGAGTCAACTCAATATATTGTACCACTTGAGGGGTGGGCCTTGGCGTTGTCATAGACTTTACAACTTGAAATGGTGGTCCAGGGGTCGCTTTCTCAGGCTGAACAACTTTTTCTTGCTGCAGAGACACTGAAGACAATTTCACATGTTTTACACTTTGCAACTTTGACTCTAGAGTAAACTCCAAAGATTTCATGGCTTGATGCTGTGATTCTGGAGACAAATTTGAAAATCTGACACTAGCCAACATTGGTCCTGATGAGAACTTCCTAGTTGGCTCTGGTGCCAACACCATTGATTTCACATCTTGCCATCCTGAAGTCAACTCCTGATAATTTATACCTTGCTGTTGGGCCCCTGGCGTCAGCTCCATAGGTTTTACATCTTGAAAACATAGCTTCGGTGCAAAGGCCACAGATTTAATGCATTGTGACCTAAAGCATGATGTCAAAGAATTTACACTTTGAGGTTGTGGCCATAGAGTTGGCTTCACAGATTTCACATCTCAAGAAAGTGGCTCTGATACAAATAGCATAGATCTTACATTATGCTGCCTGAGGTGTGAATGCAACTCCTCAGAATTCATACCTTCAGGATATGGTTCTGATTTTAACTCCACGGATTTCATACCTTGAGGATATGGTTCTGGTTTTAACTCCACGGATTTCACACCTTGAGGATATGGTTCTGGTTTTAACTCCACGGATTTCACACCTTGAGGATATGGTTCTGGTTTTAACTCCACGGATTTCACACCTTGAGGATATGGTTCTGGTTTTAACTCCACGGATTTCACACCTTGAGGATATGGTTCTGGTTTTAACTCCACGGATTTCACACCTTGAGGATATGGTTCTGGTTTTAACTCCACAGATTTCACACCTTGAGGATATGGTTCTGGTTTTAACTCCACGGATTTCATACCTTGAGGATATGGTTCTGGTTTTAGCTCCACAGATTTTGCCTTTTGGAAACATGGCTCTAGCGTAAATACCTCATATTTTAAGCCCAGTAGCTCAGAGGCTGAAATCATTTTTGCAGAATTTGCATCATAAAGCAATGGCTGCTTATTTATGTCCACAGATTTTACAACTTTAAGCAGTGGCTCTGGTAAAAATACCTCAGATTTTGTACCATTTATCTGAGGACCCAAATTGAATGCAGGTTGCACAGCTTGCTGTGAGCCAAGGTGCTTCCCCCAAAATTGGACTCCTTGAAACTTAGTCCCTGGAGTTAACTCAGAAGATTTCACACCTTGCAAGTGTGGTCTGGGATTGAACAGAATAGATTTCGTACCTTGAGATTCTGACCCAGGGTTCAATTCAGAGGGCTTCATGTCTCGTATCTGTGGCCCTGGATTCAAATTGATAGAATTTATGCATTGAAATTCTGACTCTGAATTCAACTCAGAAGAATTCATACCTTGCAGCTGTGGGCCAGAGTGGAACTCCTTTGGTGTTATATCTTGAAATTTTGTCCCTGAAGTCAGTTCACATTTTACATCTTGTAAATGTTGAGCAGAGCTGAACATAACAGATTTTATACTGTGAAGCTCTGGCCCTGGATGCAACTCAGATTTCATAACTTGAAATTCTGACCCTGATTTTACACCTTGCAAGTGTGGCTCAAGTTCGCACTCCATAGAATTTACGCATCGTAACTTTAGCCCTGGATTCAACTGAGAAGAACTTGCACACTGCACCTGTGGCCCAGAGTTGCATTCCAAAGGTGCTACACGTAGAAACTTTGACCCTGGTGTCAAATCAGATTCTAAATCTTGCAAATGTGGTCTAAGGTTGACCATTAAAGATGTCTTGCTTTGAATTTCTGTCCCTGGGTTCAATTCAGAACACTTCATGCCTTGAAGTTTTGAAACTGAAGTTAATTCAGGAGATTTCATACCTTGTAAATATGGCTCTGTGTTGCACCCAATAGAATTTACACACAGAGCTTGTGGCTGTGGCATTAATGCAGAATTCACACCTTGCAAATGTGGCCCTGGGCTGCACCCAATAGAATTTGCACACTGAAGTTTTGGCCCTGGAATGGGTGCGGAGGAATTTACACCTTGCAAGTGCAGCCCAGGATTGCACCCATTAAAATTTACACACGGAAGTGGTGGCTCTGGAGTGAATGCAGAAGAATTCATACCTTGCAAATATGACCCAGGGTTGCACCCATTAGGATTAACACACTGAAGTTTGGGCCTTAGAATGGATGTGGAAGAATTCACACTTTGTGGATCTGGCCTAGAACTATACTCAATAGAATTTATACCCTGAAGTGGTGGCTTTGGAATGGATGCAGAATAATTAATACCTTGCAAGTTTGACCCAAAGTTGAACCCATTAGAACTTACACACTGAAGTTTAGGGCCTGGAATAGATGCAGAAGAATTTACACCTTGCAAACATGGCCCACAGTTGCACGCAATAGAATTTGCACACTGAGGTGGTGGCTCTGGAATGGATGCGGAAGAATTCACATCTTGCAAATGTGGTCCAAGGCAGAACACCTTAGATTTCATACCTTGAAGCTCAGGCCCAGGATTAAACTTGGCAGAGTTTATTCCTTGCAACTGTGGCCCAGGGTTGAAATCTAAAGATTGTATACCTTGAAGCCTTGTTCCAAAGTGCAACTCAGATTTCACACCTTGAAACTGTTCCTGAAGATTGAATTCCATAGATTTTACATCTTGAAGCTTTGTCCCTTTACATAATTCTGAAGGTTTCCTATATTGCAAATGTGGCCCAGGATCGAACCCCGTAGATTTAACACTTTGAAGGTCTGGCCACAGATTCAATATATGAAATTTCTCATCTTGCTGCTGCTTTTCAGTATTGAACTCAGAAGGTGCCACACTGTGAATCTTTGATCCCAAGGCCAACTTAGAGAGTTGTGCAACTTGCAATTCTGGGTCATGGTTGCCTTCTGTAGAGTTCACTGTCTGAAGCTTTATCAACCCAGATATCATATCTTGCAACTTTGCCCCAGGATTGAATTCTACAGATTTCACACCTTGATGTTGTATCCCTGGTGTCGACATAAATAATTTTCTATCTTGTAACTGTGAGGTTGAGTTTAACCCCAACGAAGTCCTATCCTGTACCTTTGTACCTAGAGACAATTCAAAAGATTTTACATCTTGCTGCACTGGCCTAGGCATGAGCCCCACAGATTTCACTGTTTGAAGCTTTGTCACTGGGATCTCTTCAGAAGATTTCGTACCTTGTAATTGTGATTCAGAACTGAACTCCTTAGATTTTACATCTTGAAGCTCTGTCCCCTTGATTGAGTTACGATATTTCACATCTTGCCACTGTGGGCCTGAGTTGAACTCCACAGATTCCCCACCTTGAAGCTTTGTCTCTGGGGTTAACTGAGATGATGCCACACCTTGTAACTTTGGACCATGGTTGTATTCTACAGATTTTACATCTTGATAGTTTGTTCCCTGAATCAACTCAGAAGATTTTTCACCTTGTATCTGTTGTCCAGAACTGAAACACATTGATTTCATACTTTGAAGCCTTGTTCCTGAGATTAAGAAGATTTCACATCTTGCAAATGAAGCCCAGGTTTGAATGCCATAGATTTTATATCACAGTTTTGATGTTGAAATTGGGCCACATGATTTCACACTTCTCAACTGTAACCCAGATTTCAAATCAATAGTTTTGAACACTGGCACCTGATGTTTCTGGAGTGATGTCAAAGGTGGTACACTGTGGAGCTTTGGCCTTGGAGTCAACTCAGATGACTTCACATCTCTTAGTTGTATTGAAGTTTTCAGTTCTACAGGTGTGACAGCTTGAGATTGTGAACCACATTTTAGCATAGCTTTCATACCTTGGAACTCAGGTACTGGTATCCACTGCACAGATTTCACACTTCCAAGCTGTGAGTCTTGGTTTAACGCCACAGTTTTTACCCCCTTAAGCTGTGGCTCTGAGGTTGATGCCAGAATTTTCCCTTTCGGCAACTGTGGTCCTTGGGACAACTTAGGAGTTTTCACAAATTGCAACCGTGGCCCATAGTTAAACTCCACAGGTTTTGCACTTCGAATTTTTGGCCCTAGAATCAATTCAGATGATTTTACACCTCTTGACTCTACAAAGCATTTCAACTCTGCAGGTTTGACACCTCGAGATTGTGAACCAAGATTCAGCCCTCCAGTTTTTCCATCTTGGAACTCAGGACCTGGTATGCACTGCACAGATTTTGCACTTCCAAGCCGTGAGTCTTGGTTTAACGCCACAGTTTTCACACCTTGAAGCTGTGGCTCTGGGCTTGATGCTGGACTTTTCCTTTTTTGCAGCTGTGGTCCTTGAGACAACTCAGCAGCTTTCACACAGTGCACCTGTGACCCGAGGTTAAACTCCATAGATGTTGCACTTTGAAGTTTTGGCCCTAGAGGCAGTTGAGATGACTTTACACCTCCTGACTCTATGGAAGATTTCAACTCTGCAGGTTTGACAACTTGAGATTGTGAACCAAGATTTAACCCTGTAGGTTTCACACCTTGGAACTCAGGTCCTGGTATCCACTGCACTGATTTCACACTTCCAAGCTGTGAGTCTTGGTTTAACTCCACAGTTTTCACACCTTGAACTTGTGGCTCTGAGCCTGAAGCCAAAATTTTCCCTTTTCGTAATTGTGGTCCAGCAGACAACTCAGGGGCTTTTACACACTGCAACTGTGCCCCAAGGTTAAACTCCATAGGTTTTGCACCTTGAAGTTTTGGTGCTAGAACCAATTTAGATGTTACCATATCTCCCAACTGTAAGGAAAGTTTCAACACTGCAGATTTGACACTTCGAGATTGTGGCCCAAGATTTAATCCTACGGATTTTACACCTTGGAACTCAGGTCTTGTTATCCACTGAACAGATTTTCTTCTTCCAAGCTCTGGCTCTTTGTTTAACTCCATGATTTTCACACTTTGAAGCTGTGGCTTTGCAGTTGAGCCCAAAGGTTTCGCTTGGTGCAACTGTGGTCCTGGAGTCAACTTGGGAGATTTCAGACTTTGCAACTGTGGTTCATGTTTGAACTCTTCAGCTTTTACATCTTGCATATTTGGTTCTGGAGTCAACTCAGATGCTTTTCTACCTTTTGACTGTGGGTCAGACTTGAGGTCTACAGATTTTATACCTTCAGATTTTGACTCTGGAATTAACTCCAAAGACATTATACCTTCTGACTCAGACCCTCTCTTTACTTGCTCAAAATTCACACATTGCTGCTCTAGTGAGTTTACAGATTTCTGACCATCCTGTTCTGGCTCAAGGGTTAAATCCACAGGTTTTACTTCTTCAAACTCTTGTCCTCTGGTTACATTCACAGGTTTTACTACCAGTCTTTTCTGCCTTGAGGCAAAGTTTACAGATTTTACACATTGCAGATGTGGATCTTGAGTCTCCTTTATAGATTTTAAACTTTGAAGCTTTAAACATGGAGTAATCTCCACAAATTTCGTATCTTGCATTTGTGGGACTGAAGTCAGTTCCTCAGGTTTCATGCTTTGTAGCTGTGGCCTTTGAAGCATCTCCATAGATTTAACCCCTTGAGGCAATGGCTCTGGTGCAAAAACCATAGGCCTCTCACCTTGCATCTTTGGCCCAAATTTTAATTTCACAGCTTTCATATCATGCAGCTGTGTATCTGGAACCAACTCCGCAGATTTTACATCTTGAAGCTCCGAATCAGGGATGAATTCCACAGCTCTGACATCTTCTCTCTGTGATTTTAAGCTTATCACCACAGATTTCCCACCTTCCCGCTGTGGATTTGGAGTTATTTTCATAGATTTCATCCCTTCCAGGCATGGTCCTGGAGTTAAGGTCACAGATTTCATATCTTCTAACTGTGACTATGAGGTCAGTAACTCAGATCGGAGCTTTGAGCCTGGGGTTACCTCCTCAAGTTTTACACCTCTTGCCTGTGGCTCTGGGGTTAACCTGATAGATTTGACATCTTCCAATTCTGGCTCTGGTGTTAACTGCCTACTTTTCATATCTCTCAAATGGGCCCAGGGACTAATTCCACAGATTTCATATCTTCTAGCTGTGGCTCTGGGGTTAGCTTTTCATATTTGAAACCTTGAAGTTTAAGACTAGGCTCTCCTCCACAGGATTTACGTCTTGGAACTGTGGTCCTTGTGTCAATCCAGAAGATATCCTATCTTGTAACTGTGGTTTTCTGGTTAACTCAGAATGATTTACACGGGGCAGCTGTGGTCCTGGAGTCAACCCCATGGATTCTGCATCTGGCATTTGTGGCTCTGAGATTAATTTACTGGAAACGTCAGCTTTAAGGCTTGGCACTTGATTGCCTACTACATATTTTACATCTTGAAACAGTGGCTCTGGTACTAACAACTGAGGATTAACCCCTTGCCCCTCTGGCCCTGGAGCCATTGCCATAGGCGGTACCCCTTGCATCTTTGGCCCTGGGGTCAACTCTAAAAATTGTACACATTGTAGCTGTGGCCCTGAGTTTAACTCTAAAGATTTCACACCCTGAGGTTGAGTTCCTGGTACTAAATCAAAAATTTTGACATCTCGTAGCTGCAGCTCTGGGTTAAGCCCTTCCTGTTTCATGCTTTGAGTTCCTTGAGACATCTTTGCTAATGTGGAATCTTGCAGCCCTAACTCTGGAACCACCTCTACAGAATTCACACTATGAACCACTGATCCTGCAGTTTGATCCCCAAATGTGACACCTTGCAGCTTTGGCCTTGAAGTCAATTCAGAAAATTTGAGATTTTGCTGCCAAGGCCCTAGGTTTACTTCCTCAGATTTTGCACTTTGAACTGGTAGTTCTGAGGTCAGTTTTGCAGATTTCATCCTGTGAAACTGTGATCCTTCAGCAGACAGAACAGATTTCATGTCTTCAACATGTGGCCCTTGGCTTAACTGCAAAGACGACTGTGGCATAAAACCTGGAGACTTTATATCTTCAGGCTGAGTTCCTGGTGTCATCTGCACATGTTTGAAACCTTGGTGCTTTGACCCTGGGATCGAATCAGAAAATTTGACATCTTGCAAGCCTAGTCCTGGGTTTAGCTCCACAAATTTCACACCTTGAGGTTGTGTTTCTGGAGTCAGCTGTACAAATTTGACACTTTGAGGTGTTAGGTCTGGGATGAAATCTGATGATTTGATGTACTGAACTGGGGAATCCGAGGTCAGTTCATCCGATTTTGCACCATAATGTAGGGGTTGTGAGATTAAATCTACAGGTTTTTCTCCTTGAAGGAGTGGCCCTGGAAATACCTTTGAAAATCTGACACTTTGTGACTGTGGCCCTGGGGTCAGTCCAGAAGATTTGACACTTGTCTGACATGGGCCTAGATTTAAATCCACAGAGTTTACATCTTGGAGCTCTGCCTTCTTAGTCAAATCCTCCAATGGCATACTTTGTAGCGGTAGCTCCGATATCATCTCCTCTCCGGTATCAACTCCTGTAGTTGACTGTTGGATTAAATTCACATGTTTCACATCTTGCAACTGTGACTCTAGATCCAACTGCATAGACTTTCCTCCCTGGACCTGTGGCCCTGGGTTCAGGTCTGTAACATGTGGTTTTGGTTCTGTAATTAACTTTTTAGATCCTATGACTAATGGAGATGACTCACTGGTTAACTCTGCAGATTTCAAATTTTGCAGTAGTGGCTCTGATTTCTCGTATTGTATGTCTGATCCTGGAGTCAACTCCAGAACTCCTGTTTCTGAATCTAGTGGTAGTGGGAAAACTCCATGGGTCTTACCAACTTGAGGCAATGCCAACCCCAGAGTTTCTGTGTCTTTATGTTCTGAGGTGGGGGGTGTCTCTGACAACTCAGTAATTTCTGAGCATGGCCCTAGATTGCCATGAACAAACTTCATATCATGGGGCTGTGGCTCTGTGGTCAACACTTCTGATTTCACACTTTGTATCTCTGATTCTTGTATCAAATCCAGAGATTCTTTTGTTGTGTGTTGTGATACTGGAGTTTCCCCCATTGCTTTTCCAAGTTGGTGCATTGTCTCAAGAGTGTCTTAGAATGACACTGAGCTCATCTCCACAGATTCTGAAGTTTGGCTCAGTGGCCCTGGGATAGTTCCTAAAGATGGTTGGGTCAACCCAATAGATTTTTCCACTTGGTGACGAGTGTCAGAGGTCAACTTTGCTTCTTTTCCTTAAGATCCTAGCTCTGAGATCATCTCTAAAGAATCTGAGGCTTGATGCCATGGGGTCAATCTTTCAGGCTCTGTGGCTTGGTGATTTGGTTTGGAGCTCATCTCTGCAGATTTTACTGCCTGAAGTTGTGTCCCTTTGGTCAATTCTTCATATTTCATACCTTGCACATGTGTCTCAGGAATTAACCTCCTACATTCTAACATTTGAGGAGTTTTCACATCTTCAAACAATAGTACTGGGGCTATCTTCTCAGATCTGACATCTTGTAACCATGGCTTTGGGGCCAACTCTGCAGATTTTGTGTCTTCCATTGGTGGTCTTAGTGTCAACTCCACAGTGTTTATATCTTGAAATCTGGTGGTAGGACCAGATGAAAAGATCTTCTGCCTTGCAACTGTGAACCTGAGGTCAAACTCCTAGATTCTGTAACATATGGCTGTGCTGGTGGAATTATCCCCGTGGAATCCATGGCTTGTAATGGTGCTACTGGAGTTACTCTCACACGATGCATGACTTGATGTAATGGTGCTGAGATCACTTCTGATGATTTTGTGCCTTGACATATTGGCCCTGGAATAGTCTTTCCTTGTTCCATGACTTGACTTTGTGATCCTGAGGTCATGTCAACTGATTCCATGACTTTATGCTGTGGCCCTGGCATCATCTCCACGGTTTCCATAACTGCACGTTGTGGGCTTAGATTCATCTTTTCTGGTTTTGTGACTTGATGGTTCAATATTGTGTTCATCTTCACTGACTCTATGGCTTGATGTTGTGGTGTTGGAGTCGTTCCCACTAATTCTATGTGTGGATGTGATTTGTTAATCATCCCCATAGAATCCATAACTTGAAGCAGTGCTATAGGAGTTACTTTCTCATTATCTGTGACTTGATTCAGTAATCTCATGGTCATCCTCTCTGATTCCACAACTTGGTGCTTTGGCTGCCTCCATTGACTGAATGACTTGATTTGGTGGTATGCTCATTGTTTTCATAGTTTCCATTGGTTTCACAACTTGACTTGGCAGCTCTGGGGACAAACCCACAGATTCTGAATATGATTCTGGGATCATCCCCATTGAATCTATGACCTGAAATAATGCCAATGGAGTTACCTTTATGCTGTCCTTGACTTGATATGGTAGACTTGGTGCCACGTCCACATTAGTCACTTGTGTCTTGTGCTGCTGTATACTTTTTTCTGGAAAACCTATGACCCTCTTCTCTATACTAAGCTCTAGTATGTGTTTTGGCTCTTCCTTCAGTAAAGCGGTTTCCTCTTGAATTACATTAATTCCTAAACTTCTTGGAGGTAGAGTGCCCACTGATGTAACTAAAGGCTTGGATCCAAGGATTTGGGGGCCATCCCCAGGTTGTAACTGCTTTCCTGAGATAAGTGACTGTGAAAGTTTTGTTTCTGTGCTATTTGTTCCAGATCCCACTTCAGCATTCACATGAAGTGGAAATGATGGAAGGTCTGGGAAACTTTTGTTAATGTTTTGCTCAGTGTTTTGATGAATGGGCATAGATAACTGAGTTTGGAGTTTATTTGATTCAGCGACTCCTCTTTGTACTTCAGTTAAATAATTGAGCATCGCCCATGATTTCCTCACAGGTAAAGGTACCATTTGTTGCTGCAAAGAGAAACCCTTCTCAGATATATGTCTTTTTAGCTCCCTTCTAACCGAAGGAGAGAGCTTGAATGGAGCCCACCTTGGGAGTCGTGGTCTCTCCTTGGAAACAGAATTCAGCTAGTGATCTGATGTCAAATGACTCTTGCTCCTTCTCTCATTTTTTTTCCCCTTTTTTGTTTCCAGATATTTAGAGGCTCAGAAATAGAGTTGATAAAAGGGCTCTGAGATTGTAAGGGTGAAAGATCTGTCAAATTCTGAAAAAGTTTTGATTTCTGGGGCTCTGATAGCCGAAAAGGAGGCAGGGTTGTGCCTTGGTTCTCGAACACAGATGACTGCCTTTTGTGGGAAATAGGTAAACTATGGCTCTAGCATTCCTTCAGAACAACTAGAGTTACTGCATGATGATCTAAAGGAGATGCTGTGGTCAGTAGAATGTTTTGCTCTCTTATAGTCACAACAGCATAGAACAGTCTTCTGTTCTACAAGAACAGAGGAGGTAGAGGAAGAAATTGTATCCTACAGTTCCGGCAAATCCTGTTCCATAAGCCTTGATCTAAGAAATAAAGAGAAATGTTTCAGTTTGCATTGAAAGAGGAAAGTAAAAAAGTGGCTATTTCAAATGCAAAATATTTTTGGCCTGAAGGAGAATTGAGGGGGTAAGTTTCTTCCGCCAACATCAGTTACTTACAGAAAGAATTCCTCTACCAGGACAAAGGGAGAAAACTGTTCCCATTCCACCCAGAAATGACCCTTCGACCAGTTTGAACCCAGAACTTCCTCCACAGACAAAATGAACTCTCTCCCTCCCTCCTTCCTCCCCTTCCTTCCTCCTTTTAAAACCTCCACCACCTTCAGTCCTCATCCAGAAACTACAATGCCTGACCTTGTGCTTTCCATGTGTTTGAAGATCTGTCGAAGAGTCCGCATCATTGACCAGAGTGTATTTTCCTGGGTCCTGTCCCCAGGGAGTCCTGAAACACTGGATGCAACACTGTATGTCAATGTAATTGAAGTCTCATTAAATACCAGTAAGGAAAACAGCAAGAGAGATTTAACTTACAAAAGAAAAAGCTAACATAGTGAAGGAAGGAAAACAGGGTACCAGGTACTTTACTTCTAACTTTCACAGAGTTTATCAGAATTGGCTGAAGACAGGCTTTACTCACCACGTCAGGCTAGCTTCACTGCAAGCCATCCTGAGGGTTTCTTTCCTCTGTGGATCTGGAGGAAGAGGTGAAGAATCTGTCAGCATCATGATTATTGACATCATTTCATCCAACCCACTCTTTTTGTAAATAAAAAAATAAAGATGAAGTTATGCCCAAGATCATGAAGCTAGTTAGTGGTCAGTCTCAGACTTAACCCATCTCAACATTTTTCAAAAAGCTACACTGCTTCCATCATACATGCTGCCTTCATCATACATAGATGTAAGCTATATACATTGGAAAGAATAGGAATAATCATAGTAATAAGCAGTGGGAGTAGGGGAAAGAGAGGCCATGATATGTATCTTTTCCCCCAAAGGAGTCTATCCAGTATCTATGGTGGGGGAGAAAAGATAGGGAAACTTCCCTCACCAAACTCTTGATAGTTACCCTTCATCCATTTTACAATCTCACCAAGTTTCCTTCCCAATACCTTGGGATTTGAACAAAAGGAGCTGAGGAGAGGAAGCATGAGGAAAGGAACTGTGCAGCTGTATACATACAGCTCTTTTTTTTTTCCTAATCTTATGACAGATTAACATACATCTCTTTAGACATGGAGATACTAGAAGAAGCACACTTCTTCCATTTACATCCTCTTTTCAACCTCCCTCCACCGGATATTTAAGGCTAGAGGCATAAGGCAGACCTATAATTGGTCTGTCATTAACCTGGAACTGAAGAGTAAAGGATAGAATCATTCTGACCTGTTAATTTCTGGATCTTTTTCCATCTATGGTGCTTTGAAGTCTATAGAAGCACAAAAAGAAAATCAGGTTATGTTCTAGGTTAGAGACTTTATTGACAGCACATCTCACCTTTTAGTTATCAGATATTGATACATCTCATGTATGAGGTATTGATAGAGTTGGCACCCATAACCTTACATAAATATATGGAGGATGGTGATTAACTTCCTAAGATGGAAGGGAAGAATTACTCAAGAAGTTACATTTGTACTGGAGTTTAAAGAATCAGCATAAGACTTTTAGGTGAAGAAAGAGTATTTCAGGCAAGCAGAAACATCACTGAGATCAGCATGTCATGAAGGTAAGGTGCACTTTTGCTAAGTAGTGGGAGATGCCAGGCTGACAAGGTAGATGGAAGCCAGGTTATGCCTAATGATAAAATTTTAATTTTATTCTATAGTTGGAAAACTCCCAAGGTTTTTGCAAAATGCTCCAGGTCATTTTAAAGGCAGTAATGGCATTTGTTACCATTTCAAATGAAACAATTTTTTTGAGACAGAGTCTTGTTCTGTCACCTAGGCTGGAGTGCAGTGGTGTGATCTCGGCTCACTGCAACTTCCACCTCCTGGGTTCAAGCGATTCTCCTGCCACAGCCTCCCGAGGAGCTGGGATTATAGGCATGTGGCACCATACCTGGCTAATAGTGGAGATGGGGTTTTGCCACGTTGGCCAGGCTGGTCTCAAACTCCTGACCTCAGGTGATCCGCCTGCCTCGGCCTCCCAAAGTGCTAGCTGGAATTACAGGCATCAGCCACCACTCCCATCCCAGCAGCCTTTTAATACCCAATTAAGCTTCTCAAAAAAGAGTAAGGGAAATCGCTACAGGCCAAAAGGAAGGAGAAAAGTGAAAAGCGTGAGCGGAATATCATCTGATATTTCAATGCCCTACATCATTTGTAGCGTCAATCAGAAGGGATTTGAGTTAACAACGAAGTAGGAGCAAAAGACAAGGCCCATGTGAAGTGTGTATTTGGGTTGAGGCCCTGGGAAAAAGTCAGAATTCTCAAAGTGCCACATGTTTAGTGGAAAGGTGGCTAGGAAGAAATCTGCTCGCCACAGAAAATTTGTACTCTAGGTGGGAAAAACAAACAAACAAACCCTTCTCTGAGAATTTTAACCATGAGTCTATACTCATACTGGCTTGGCATTCTAATGAAACTCACTGTGTAGCCAGGAACCCTAAAACTGAAAATAAAGTGGAGTGAAGCTGGGCCGGTAATGTTTTAGGGTAAAAGATGAAATGTAAATCTCCTTGGAAATTAAAAAGAAGTAGAAGTGGTCAGGTGCAGTGGCTTATGACCATAATCCAGCATTTTGGGAGGCTGAGGCAGGAGGATCCCTTGTGCCCAAAAGTTTGAGACCAGCCTGGGCAATATGTGAGACCCTGTTTCTATAAAAAAATAAAAAATAATTTTAAAAAATTAGCCGGGGTGGCCAGGCAAGGTGGCTCACACCTGTAATCCCAGCACTTTGGGAAGCTGATGCAGACAGATCACTTGGGGTTGGGAGTTCCAGACCAGCCTGGCCAACATGGTAAAACCCCATCTCTACTAAAAATACAAAAATCAGCCAGGCATGGTGGTGCATGCCTGTAATCCCAACTACTAAGGATGCTGAGGCAGGAGATCACTTGAACCCGGGAGGTGGAGGTTGCAGTGAGCCAAGATCATGCCACTGCACTCCAATCTGGGCAACAGAGAGCAAGAGTCAGTCTCCAAATTAAAAAAAAAAAATTAGCTGGTTGTGGTGGTGTATGCCTGTGGTCCCAGATACTTGGGTGGCTGAGGTAGGAGGATCTCTTGAGCCCAGGAGGTCAAGGCTGCAGTGAGCTGTGATCCTGCCACTGCACTCTCCAGCCTGAGTGACACAGCAAGACGCTGTCAGAAAAAAGCGAAAGAAAGAAAAGAAAGAGAGAGAAAGAGAAGGAGGAGGAAGAAAACAGTTTGAATATGTACACATTAATAATGTAAAAACTCTGATAAAATAAATTCCTAGGAAAAAAATAAGATACCAAATTAGGCAAAAAGGACTAGATCATTTGAGTAGACCAGTAAGGATGAAAGCAGTTGAAATGATAATCAGACATTCTTCCTCAGACATAGTAAAATAATTCACCAAGATTTCTGAATACCAGAACGACTTACAAATATCAATAACATTACTACAGTAAAAACTATAAAAATACTATTTAAAATAATAAAAGATATTCTTCACAATAGCAATAAAAATGATAAAAGTAGCAAGGTGTTAAGTAAACCAAGAATACAGAAGACTTCCATATAGAAAACTATAAAATGCTAATAAAAGACATAGAAGATGATCAGAATAAATGGAGAGACAGTCCAAGTTCTAAGTTGGAATAACTTGAAATTACAAAGATGTCATTATTCCCCAAATTAATTTTTTTTTAAGACAGTCTTGCTCTGTCAGCCAGGCTGGAGTGCTGTGGTGTGTTCTCGGCTCGCTGCAACCTTCACTTCCTGGGTTCAAGCAATTCTCCTGCCTCACCTGCCCGAGTAGCTGGGACTACAGGTGTGCACCACAAGGCCCGGCTAATTTTTGTATTTTGAGTAGAGACAGGGTTTCACCATGTTGGCCAAGCTGGTCTTGAACTCCTGACCTCATGATCCACCTGCCTTGGCCTCCCAAAGTGCTAGGATTACAGGTGTGAGCCGCCAGCCCAGCCAATTAAATTATGTATATATGTGTGTGTCTGTATATAGACATATATATATATATATCTTTTTAGTTTATTTATTTATTTATTCATTGAGACAGGGTCTTGCTCTGTTTCCTAGGCTGGAGTACAGTGGCATGATTCACTACAGCCTCGACATCCTGGGCTCAAGTAATTCTCCTGCCGCAGCCTCCCAAGTAGCTGGGACTATAAGTGCATGACCCCATACCTGGCTAATGTTTTTATTTTTATTTTTTGTAGAGACAAGCTCTCATTATATTACTCAGGCTTAAATAATATTTTAATGCATTTACAATTCATATTTCATTTGGAATGTTTCAAGAACTTGTTAAATGCTCTAAAATTAATATGACAAAATAAAGGTCTACTAATAGCTGAGCCAACCTTAAAAAGAAGAGCAAAGGAGTGACTTGCTGTACCAAACAGCAAACATACAAACACTAAGACAAAGCTGTAGGAAATAAAAACAGGAACAAGTAGACCAATGGAACAGATAGAGAGCTCAGAGGCAAACTTATGTATACATGGCAAATTATTATAATAAAGGGAGTTCCATAAATCAATGGGGAAATGATTGTTTAGCAAACAGTAACAAGAGCTGGGCACAGCGACTCATGCCTATAATCCCAGCACTTTGGGAGGCCAAGTCAGACAGATTGTTTGAGCTCAGGAGTTCCAGACCAGCCTGGGCAATGTGGGGAAACCCCATCTCCACAAAAAATACAAAAAATTAGCCAGGCGTGGTGGCACACACCTGTGGTCCCAGCTACTTGGGAGGCTTCGGTGGGAGGGTCACTTGAGCCTGGTGGGCGTAGGTTGCAGTGAGCTGAGACGGTATCATTGCACTCCAACCTGAGTGAAACAGTGAAACCCTGTCTTTAAAAAAAAAAAAAAAAAAAAAAAAAAAAAAAAGGCCAGGCATGGTGGCTCACGCCTGTAATCCCAGCACTTTGGAAGGTCAAGGCGAGAGGATCATGAGGTCAGGAGTTCGAGACCAACCTGACCAACATGGTGAAACCCCGTATTTATGTTAAAGAAAAAAAAAAAAAGAAATAGTTATGGGAAAACTGGCTCACTATAGAGAAAAATAAAATTGGATCACTTCCTAATACCACATATAGAGGTGGACTCCAAGTATATTAAAAACTAAAATGTGAAATGTAAGACTGGAACACAGAAAAAAAGGTAGGAGAAAATCTTTGTGATCTAAAGCAGAGAACTCCTTAAGGAAAACTTCAGAAAAATAAACCATAGGTATAATTCCTAAAAGAGAAGAATTTAAATGTTTCAGCCACACACAAAACAGATAAGTGAAATGGTTATGTTAATTCACTTGATTTAGTCAATCCACAATGTAAACATGCAGCAAACCATCACATTATACCCCACAAATGTATACATTAGTATGTCTCAAATTTTTTAAAAAATAAATTTTTTTGAGATGGAGTTTCCCTCTGTCACCCAGGCTGGAGTGCAATGGCTCAATCTAAGTTCACAGTAACCTCTGCCTCCTGGGTCAAGTGATTCACATGGCTCAGACTCCCAGGTAAGCTGGGAATACAGGCATGCCCTGCTAATTTTGGTACTTTTTGTAGAGATGGGGTTTTACCATGTTGGCCAGGCTGGTCTCAAACTCCTGACCTCAAGTTATCCACCCACTTTGGTCTCTCAAAGTGCTGGGGTTACAGGTGTGAGCCACTATGCCCGGCCTCTCAAAAAATTTTTAATCCAGTAGAACGCCCTCTCACAATCAAATGGAACCTGACAATGACAAATCTGCCACTCACTCCTAACCTCAGGTAACTACAAAGAAAGTTGCCTTCACACTGAGAAGTTCAGGGGTCTGAGGTGAAGTCTCTGGGAAGCCATAACCACAAGCTCACTTCTGTATATTTGGCAGCTCAGGTTCACATTATCTGAGTTGTTCCAAAAACTCTTCAAGCCATGAATTTAAAATGCTTTAATTTCATGGACTGATGGTGCCAGAATCAAAAGTAAATGAAATACTCTCTGAGGAAAATCTTTATCTTAGGCTTCAAAATCTCCACATAATTAAATTTAAGATGCTACTGATTACAAAATATGCCATCTATTTATATGCTAGTAGAATGAAAAAAATACAGTTAATTAAATTATTAAGTACCATCAATTGTAAGACATACCCCAATTTCAGAAATGTTAACTATTAAAAAAATAAGCACAAGCACAGAAACAAACCTGCAGAGATGTCAGGTATTGGAATTATCAGATGTAGATTAGAAAACCCCTAAGCATATTATATTTAAGGAAATAAAATTCAAGTA